GTGAGCAAGCTGTGCATTAACCCTCTGAAAGAACACGGTACAGCCCATACAACACACTCCCGCCACCCAGAACCCAAACACGTACAGGTTGAAAGTCTTTCTCAAAGACATCCCCGACGATTCGGGAAAACAGCCGCTCAACAAACAACATTTTTGAAGCATCCACCGTGGTGATAATGTCCAGTGCACAGTACTCTGCGCGGTGCGCTATCGCGCCTGTGCATAATCCCTACGAACTCACGCGCAGGTTATAGGTAATGTTTCCAGGTGAGCTTAAAAAGTGAGGCAGCAGTGGTCAAAAGATGATCGGTAAGAGGTCCTTAAGAATTACTTTTTCTAATCTGGTTTTTTATAAGGTTACTGGAATGTTGGCTTAAAACAAAAAGTATACCTGTACATTTGATAGAGTGAATACAGTACAGTTTAATTTTTCAAAAAATTGTCAAACTCATAGAAGTCCTATGTAATGGCAATAAATGAATATAAGATTTGTACATAGTGAATCAATCAAAAGTTTGCTTTTAAGTTCACATTTGTTGCAAGCTAAATCTTAAGTAGTTCTGGTTAGAATTTATCCAGTAATGTTATAAACTTCGTCAGTACGTAAAATGTGAAACGTGCGGAAAGGAAGTCGCACTTATTATTTTTTTTCGTCCCCTCGATATTATTATGTTCAACGTTTTTATGCAATCTTATCAATTTCTCTGTTACTACATTGATAAGCTCGAGATAATGAATACCGAATTTCACAATAGAGATACCGACAGCTTTTCGTGATTCAGCGGGTGAAAGCAGTGGCATCATTCTTACTCGACATCTCAGCGCTCACTTATCAATCCATCACTCACCTGATATTATCCTTGACTACTCGACGCATATTTTAACAGTGCTAGCCCCACCACTTAGCACCCGAAAGGTGCCAAACTTCTGTTGCACCATGTCTTAAAAAACCTCGAAAAATGTTTGTCGTCGGCTTTGTTCACCGTACGCCAACGTAGGTCCCCTAAGGTATAGCTGGTGAAAATTTGAAGGGAAAGCATTCTATCGTATAAAAATATCGATACCAAATGGGCTGAAGCTCATTCCTAAGCTACCCTGTGATTGAGCACCACAAACACATTTTCTTCGAGTGCTCCTTGGTAGAAAAGCGAACTTGCACGCTGTCCTGCTGTATGAAAAATTGCAACATACTAAGGTGGTTTCCGGCAAAGGAGGGTATCACAGCCGCTATTCATTGTCATTCTTTGTCTCTGTCGTTGGCCGGCCTTCATTCGAACAACTATCAGCTCTCACAGAGGAAGGATTGCTTCAAGCTAAGGTAGTTTACTTCTTCTTTTTTTTCACTACTTCCCACAGAATTTTGAAAGAAGTGGTATGGAATCCAGTTGACCTTTATGAGTTACTCATTGTGCCAGATAAGTTATCGGTTCAGTAAAGACAAATGAAGAGAGGGTTCAGGCTGAAAGGTCTTGGGATTGCGCCACGCATTTCACTGTCACTTCACTGTTAGGGATTGCGACATTGTGGAAGGAGTTCATATTTGTCGTGTACAAAGAAGTTCTGTACGCTGTTAACCACCAAAAGGGTCTGGTACTCACTCGGTGATTAAGCTTTGTTAGCCTAGTGGCTTGTTTACATCTATGGACGGTTACGTTTAGCCAATATCCTACGTCCTCCAAACTTGCAGCTATTTGTTATAATTTTGTTATTTCTTATTATTATTTATTAGGATAACTAAACTTGAGGGCCTTCATTATGAAGAACTTGCCTCGTTTCCTTTCAACGAATCATTCATTACTCGAAATATTAAATTTTATTGGGAATGGGTGCCGAAGAATCTTAATAAGAAAGCACGTCCAAAGAGATCAGCCTTGCATCGGCTCATTTTTGCTGCTTCGCGGCATTTCCGTAGAAGAAATAGCATTGTCACCCTTTCCTGGTACTCACGT